ATTCCCAGCACTGGGAAAAAAGATAGGAATTCTCCCACATCTTATCATGGTGGTGACTGAGAAGGCCCCGGTGTCTCAGAGGAAAAGGTAAACCAATCTCTGCAGTGTCTGTAATAAGAATTCCGTAAAAAGTCATTCCTCTGTGCTGACTCACTTAACAATATACACAGTGGCATTCGGAGCCCACTCCAGGCAAGCTGACGGCCACACAGGGCTGGCTTAGAGATCACGCAGCTGGGAAGTGTACAGCTGCATAGCACATGTGCCTCCTTCCTGTCGCTGACACCTTAGGCATGTTCAGAGACCACAGAGAAGTCAGAACCGAAAACAAGTCTTGGCAGGTGGAGGACAGTATGAAAGCTTAGAATATGTTCAGTATGTTAAAAAGGAAGACTCGCCAGGCAATTCCAGCATTTGAGAGGCTGAAGCAAGATGATGGCGATGAGTTCGAGGCCTTTCTGGGCTGACATAGTGCAGGGCCAGCTATATAGCAAGAGCCTGTCTTTAAAAAAAGACTTGATGTGTGGTGGTTTCTGACTTCAAAAAGGATGGTGTTCTATAATGTTTGCAGGCTGATAACTTGGAACTCTCCACATGTGCAAGTGCAGTTGTGACTGATGGCTCAGCTGTTGGAAGCCCCATCTCCCTCAGAATGTCTTTGTGGACAGTATGCGGCTAGTGGCCCTCCGGGACTTAGCCAGCATGTCAGGGAAGCTCCACACTCCAGACTGGATCTTCTGGGGTCAAGATGTCCCCTGGCACACCTCGAGAGTCCTTTCACTTTGACCCTGTCACAATGGCTTCTTTGTCCAACAAAGGGGAGCTGGGAGGTTAGATACAGGGGTGGGACGGGTGCCCGGGTGCCTTCTGCCTGGTGGTCCCTTTGGTCTAGGAATCCCGGAGTCTCATCTGTCAACTTGCTTTCCTTCTATAGCTGTCCTCATCTTTTGCTTTCAAGCATAAAATATTTTCCTGCTTTGACTCTTCAGAAAAAATGGGGCTGATGGGTGGCTAGCAGAGTGCCTGGTGTACCAGAGATACTCCATAAACGTTTCTTATCTTCGGGAAATCGCTGGTCTCTACTCTCTTTTTTTTTTTTTTTTTTTTTCTGCCCTCTTGTATTTGAATGGTCTCTACTCTTGTCAGTAAAATAAACCCGTGATCCTTCTGAGGTGTTCATAGCTGTTTCTGATGTTACCACCCAGCGGTGTTACCAAGATGGCTGAAGCAAAAAGGCAGGGCCTCCGGCCGAGTCCCTCACAGTGCACACACTCCCTAGGTCTCACAGACTTTAGTTCTGGTCAGGAAGGTGCTAACCTTTCTCTGCCTCGCAGCCTCAGGGGAAGTTTCCTGTGAACATTTCAGATGAACACCCAGTCTCGCTATCTTGAGGGTTGATTTGGTTGCTTGTTTGCTCATTTGTTGATAGGATGAAGGTGGAGGCTGCAGTGCATGGGAATGAAGTCTCTTGGAATCTTCCTTTATGAGGAAGTGCAGGGGAAGGTAAAAATACAGAAAAGTACAAGTAAGGGCTGAGGACTAGCTCAGTGTTGCAGTGCTTGTCCTAATGTGCTAAGTTCCATCCCAGTGATAAAAGAAAAAGCTCAGGAGGCTGAAGCCAGAGGACTGCCATGAGTTCGAGGCCAACCTGGGCTACATAGCAAGACCCTGTCTCAAAGAAACAGAGGAAGAAAGCAGGGGAGAGAGAGAGGGAAGGGAAGGAAAAGAAAAGAAAAGAAAAGGTGCCCAAGGTCATGAGTTCAATACCTGGTACAAGAAAGAGAGAGAGAAAAGAGAGGAGGGAGGGCAACAGGCAAGAAAGAGCAAGCGAGGGGCTGGGGATTTAGCTCAGTGGCATAAGCGCCTGCCTTGCAAGCAGGGAGTCATGAGTTCGATCCCTGGTACCGATAAAAACGAAAAAGACAAAAAAAAAATTTAAAAAAAAAAAAAAAGAAAGAGCAAGCGAGAGAAGGGAACTTGCCTGCCCTAGGATTCCCTGTCTTCTCTCCCCGCCGGCCATTCCACCACAGTCTGGGTCCCAGGGCAGCTCCAGGTGAGAGACGCTGGCCCTCGAGAGTAAGGTGTCCAGGCGGTCCCAGGCAAGAAGGGTATGTGAAGAGCAGCCTCAGTTTAGGTGGCAAGACCCAGATTCAGCTCCTGCGCTCCCTCTGTCCTATCTGTACCTCCCTTCCTGGTCCTGCATTCTGGTTGGATCCTTCTCCAGATAACTCAGGTTAGCGCCCATGTGGGCTTCTAGAGAAGGCAAACTCTTAGTTCGTTGTAGGAAAGGAAGGTTGGGAGGTTCGTTCAGGCTTTACGAAGTTTCCCTTCTTTGAGCTCAATCCCTCATTGAAAAACAGGGAGGCGACGCCTGTGCAGACAGCCTCCCTGGACCAGGAAGAAGACCTGGTCTGTGTTTCTGCTCCACACTGGAAGATGACGAAGCACACAGTGCTTCAGTGTGATACTCTGCTGCTTTTCGAGATTGAGTGACATACATCACTGTCCCCAGATGTTAAGGGAGCTGCTGCAGTGAGTGGCCAGTACTGGTCCCACTTCAGAAGGATGCAGTCCTGCTAGGGGAAGAGGCTTAGCTGATGGGCAAGGTGTGGAGTGGACCCAGTGAGCTGAGAGAGTGGAAGGCAGGCAGGGCCCAGAGAGAGAGGTAATAAAGAACCTGCCACCAAGACCGAGTTCTGGGGGAGCATAGAGGCAGGAGCCAAGCCCCGAGACTGCAGAAACGTTCTGAGAAGTGATAAACAAGGGGCCGTTAGAAAGACCCAGGAACCGGTCACCCTTAACTTTAAATTTCTTTTCCCAGAAGCTTAACGGCATTTTGCTCTTAGGACCAGTGGACCAGATCACCTATTTTTCACATCTCCATAAAAGGCAGTGAAGTTACATCCAAGGCTCAGCCCCAGGGCCTGGCTCACATGCTCATTTCAGATACAGTGCTGGTGTGGAACTCCGCACGGTCGCCTCTGCCTTCTGTTTCTGGGGGCTCTTTCTGATCACAGAAGTAGTACACGTCTATTATGGAAGTCTTGGAGCCCAGTGAAGACAATACAAGCCCTGTGGCATCTAGCTGTCACCCCTTCCGCCTGTCACATGCTTCCTTTTGTTTGCTGTTAGGATAATGCCCTTTTTTTTCCCTTTTCTTTCTTTTTTTTTACTATTTGCTTTACCTGATCGCTACTTTTTCTAATTTTGTTTCCTAATTTCTCCATATCATGTCAGATGACAGCGTACTGTATATCAGGAAGGTATTCAAGGACCACGGTCTACAGGAAAGGAAAGGAAGGCTGCATTTTGTGATGTTCGCCAGTGGGAAGCACGTGCAGCCCACACGGGCACCTGCTTAGTTTTGGGTGTAGACTTGTTGTGTATCTCGGCGCTGTCCCTGCTGATGAGTATCATGTGTAACATCAGTCTCACAAAGTGGCAGAGGTTGTCTGTTGGCATTGCGTGTAGGGTCCAGGTACTTTGAGCCTCAAAACAGATTCTACATTTTGACACCAAAAAGACTAAAGGTAGGTCAGCTGGAAGGCAAGTGAATTTTTGAGGAAAGAAGCCGCTCTCTGCTGTCCGCAGGCATCAGTCATAGTCGTGTCCACTGAGAACACTGGGTATGATTAGCATGTCACACGCATGTAGTGGCCCTCGTTTTGAAGTTCTACCTGGGATCAGATTCACCGTGCACAGAGTGCTGCACGGAACAAGGAGGGGCTTACAAGAAGATGTGGCTCGGGTGCTTCTTCCCCTGCAGAGCAGAGCAGCCTCTCCATCCTTGTCTGTCCAGCCTCCTGCTGACCCAACCCCACTTTCTCCGGAGCCACCCATTCCGCGATGGCTGTGTGGCCGCCGAGGCCTGTTGTCCCCTTGGCTCCACTGTGTGTGCTCCTTGGTTCTGTGATGGTCCCTTGCTCGGCTCTTCTCCCTCTTCCTCGAGTGGCCGTCAGGTCCCCCCAGGGTCCAGAGATGTCTCTCTGCACGCTGTCTCCTCTCGGTTGTCCCGTCCCCACTTTTACCAGCGTCGCTACTGTGAGTTGTTGGCATGTCCTGTCAGCTCACCTCCGCTTGGTCCTGCAGTCCACAGTGTGATAGCATCCCCCTGCTGTGAGGAAGAAAGGATCCCTCTGTGAGATGGAAGGGCCAGGAGAGAAGGAGGTGGCTGTCACATGGGAGGGATGGTAGCACTGACTGGTGGAATCACCTCGGTGTGTATGCGTTTCCCCCCAAGCAGCCCTGGGGCAGAATTCAAAGCGCTGCACACATCAGAGCCCTGTGACCCATCTCTAGACGAGGATGCTGCCTCCGAAGACCCAGAATCTGAGGGCGGCAGCCCCTCCTGGCCTCCAGACTCATCCACAGACAGCTTAACCTCCAGCACAGGTGTCTGTGATGACATCTTAGAATGTTTCACTTAGGTTTGGTTGGTGACCTCAGATGATCACCTGCACACCTAGAAGCAGCGTTGGCCACATAGTACAGTCTGTTGCACAAGGTAGGCAGGCCTACCTGGGGACTGTGGGTGTCTCTGAGGAGGAAGCCCAACAGCCGAGTCTGCAGCACGCTAATACCCACGGGGTCACCACCCGGTAAGGGCGAGGAGGGAGGTGCGTCCCCACTTGGCTACAAGCCACTGAGGTGTGAAGGGAACGCATGAGTCTTCGGAGGAACCACGTCCGTTATGCCACATGCCACGCTGCGACCGCTGCCCTTAGCAGGGTCTGCTTTTGTTCAGTTCCCATGCTGAAAAAAGGACTTAATTCATTTGTAGACTTTGTTTCCCCTGTTTCTGCTCCTCCATTCCCTGTATTTTTTTCTTTTCCTCCTGTGTTTCTTTCTTACCTTTTCTGCTTTTTGTCCTCTGCTTGTTTTTATTTCACCTCTCCCTGTCCCTCTCCACATCCAAAATCCTCCTCCTCCTCTTTTTTCTCTTCTTTGTTTGTCTTTCTCCATCTCTTCCTCTCCTCTGCCTTGTTTGGTCCTTTTTGAAGTTGAGCCCAGTGGCGGGACTCCACGGCGTAGACCTCTCTCCTTCTGCCCTTGCTGTGTCCAGGAAGGTAACGTAACCTCGTCCCCCGCATCCTCACCACCTCGGTGGGGTCGTGGCCACGGTAGTCCCGCAGGGAGCCAAAGCCCAATTGTTACTCCTTCCTTCTCTGACACGTGACAGCCCTTTCCAGAATGTTCCGAGTATGTGGCGGGTTTCTTAAAAGGCACAGTATCCCTTTGACTATCTCAGGGGCACTGGGTACAGAGGGCAGCCGAGGCCTCCAGGCCCGGCATCAGGAGGCTGCAGACGGCCCTGCGATGCTGCCTGTACTCACAGCTGGGGCCCTATGCCTCAAGTCCACCAGGCAGAGGGCTGGGGACACAGGGGAACGACCTCCCGCAGGGCAGCAATTTGTACTGACAAAGTCAAGGAATACTGTCCTTACAAAGACTGGTCTACAAGAGTGCCCCGAGTTCTTTACCAACACAACCACCAAAAGCAAACTTCTCTACCTTGTGTCTTGCTGAGTGTGTTTTGTTTTGTTTTAAGTTTGTCTGATTTGAAGTCTGTCATGGTGATAAGACTGTCTTTGACAAGGCATGTGGAAAGGGGCAGGGGAGTGTGGCCATGACTAACCCTCGCTAACCTCCTCCTCTGCTCCCCATGGCTCTGACACTGACTTCACCCACCCACCACATCCCCTGCTCATCGCTGTGACCAAGCACCGCCATGGCTCATGAGCAGTGTTCAGATGTCCCCGGTGGGGGTCTCCGTCTTCACACCTGGGCGGTGGGCAGGAGGAGGGCGAGACGCGCCGAGCAGCTTGCATGCCTCGGGTCCCATCCTCATGGCCACGTGGGCACACTGTGCAGAGACGCTGGGAGGAATGCGTGGAACTGAGCCAGGACCCAAGTCTATCTATTGGAGTGGGTGAGGAGAGCTCAGGCCCCAGACGCACAGGCAGCGCTCCACGGGACAGGCTGACAGCAGGCTCCATCTTCAAGAGTAGGACATGGGCAGGGCACCCCTCAGAGCAGAGCTGCATGTGCAGATACTAACCCTTGCTTGTGTGGACACTACACGTTTCTGCCTCTCCAGAATGTGGCCACTGACTAAAAACCTCACCAACGCTGGCCTCACACACTGGGCAGACAGTGCCGCAGGAGCACTGGTGTGCAAGGTCAGGTGGCCAGGCACAAGCAAGAGTAAGGGACAGCCACCAAGGTGACCACCTGTCCCCAGGCCCCTTAGGAAATAGAAGGGACTTGGAGATATGTCCCAGCCCATCACCTCTTAACCTGAGTCCTGTGGCTTGGCTTTGGAAAGTTTATGATAAACACCCCAAAATTCTTTGTAAAACAATAGTCGGACTGGGGGTGTGGCCAGTGGTCAGCACTTAGCTAAGATGCACAGAACCCTAAGTTCCATCCCAATACCATAAATAAATAAATGTGATATGTACAGAGAAGCGTTTTGCTAGGAGAAATCCTTAGCTTTCATGAGACTTTCAAACAGTTTGTAACCGGGTGTGGTAGCACGTGCCTATAATCCCAGCACACAGGAGGCTGAGCCAGGAGGATCATTTCGAGTTCAAGGCCATTCTGGGCCACATAGCAAATTCAAAGCCAATATGAATTACATAGTGAGGCCCTATCAAAACAATTTGTAATCAAAAAATACTAAAGGGCCACTGACAGTCTGTCTTGAAGCCAGGACCACATATTTGCCATAAGCATCCTCATGCTCCAAGGAAAAAGGAGTTTTAGCTCCTCCTTGGTTTATTCCTTGCAGAGTTCTTCATCCTCCTGCAACGGTTAAGCAAGATCCAGCCACTGGTAGTGGAAACTCAGGGCCCAAACATGTGTTAGGTCAGGGCAGCTGCAGACAGCAGGAGGTCCCAGCACTGCTGCTAGGATTAGAACAGCAACTGAGCACTGAGCAGGGCACAGTCACTTCCTCTGCCAGAGTCTGCCGGTGAGAAAGCTGATAGCTACCCAGCATGCCCTGCACCTGCCACACAGGGCCCGTTAGCTTGTTCCTCAGGAAACACAGCCGGCAACATGTTAAGAAATGACATCTTCCTGCCAGCACATGTCTGTAATCCTAGCTGTAGAGAGACTGAAGCAGGAGGATCACAAGTTTAATTAAGCCCAGCCTGGGCAACTTTTAGGGAGACCCTGTCTAAACATAAAATGGATTTGGGGATGTTCAGTGGCAGAGCACCCATGGGTCCAATCCCTAGTACCACAATGGGGAAAAAAAATGGTGTCTCCTGGTGAGGATTTAAAGCAGTGATGAACTGTTAATAGTAGAGCCCCCAGAGAAAGAACTGGGTTAAATGGGTGTAACTTAAAGGAATAAAGTGTTATGGCTGGGTCTACAGCCCAGGGGCAGAACACTTGCCTAGTGTCTCACACGCAAGAGGCCCTGGTTTTGACCTGCAGCACTGAAAAAAAAAATTGTTTTTCAGTTTACGTGTGCCCTACTCATTCATTAGACTGGTACATAGCAAGAGCCAGATAGATACTAAAAATGTAGGTGGGGATGCTGGCAGCAAAGCAGTTTAAAACATACTGTAGGAGAGCCGCTGAGCGGGAAGGTATCAGCAAGCTGAGAGGAAGAACGGTTACCACCGGCCAGGGTTACTGTGGGGAGGGGGTGGGGCAGGGCAGCTAGCAGGCATATGCCCCGTTAGATCCCGGGGAGGCACAGTGCAGGGGCTGTCTTCTCTGCCCTCTCCCGAAGGTGGTAGGCAAACCTTGGACCTGGCTTGAGAGTGTTCCCGCAGCATCTTGCTCGGCGCTCTTTGCACATTTGCCCCAGTGTGATGATCCCTCTGGGCCAGGGTAGGCAGAGCTGGTTCCTGCAGCCTGATACTCAGTCTCTCTTGGCAGGCATGGGCAAGAAGGATGACCCCAAGCTGATGCAGGAGTGGTTCAAGCTGGTGCAAGAGAAAAATGCTATGGTGCGCTACGAGTCAGAGCTGATGATTTTGTGAGTATCTGCGGGGCTGGCTCTAGAGGGGGAATAGCAGTCCTAGGCCTGCTCCATCCCGGATTTGATGAGGTGCTGGAGTCATTGTCACCGTCTCCCTCCTGTCTCAGTGCCCGGGAGCTGGAGCTGGAGGACCGGCAGAGCCGACTGCAGCAGGAGCTGCGAGAGCGCATGGCCGTGGAAGGTAAGCCCAGCACCCCACCCAGAGGCCAGGGTGCACTGCCACCTCCTAGACTGCCCACCTGATGCCCTTGGCTGCTCTTGCAGATCACCTAAAGACGGAGGGGGAGCTGTCAGAGGAGAAGAAGATCCTGAATGAGATGTTGGAGGTGGTAGAGCAGAGAGACTCCCTCGTTGCCCTGCTGGAGGAGCAGCGGCTTCGGGAAAAAGAGGAGGACAAGGACCTGGAAGCCGCCATGCTGTCAAAGGGCTTCAGCCTGAACTGGTCCTAAGCTCCTGCAGGTACACTGGCCTGTGTGTTGGCGTCCGCCTGCCAGCCTCTCCCAAGCCCCTGGAGCCAGCATCCGAGGAGATTGGCACTACCTGGGAGCCCACATTCAGGGTCATGTTCTCCTGTGCTGTGGGAAAGCCCAGCTACAGTGATGACCTGAGGAGACGCCGCCTCCTGGAAAGAGGCCCACCAGGAATTTGTGCATGAGAGGAGGAAACTGCACCATCCTAAGGGTGCTGCCTGGTGCACCTTCCTTTTGCTGGCATGTTTGGTAAGGAAGGAGACTGCTCCCTCTCTTCAAAGTCACCACAGCCACGGAGAATACTCTGCGGAGCAGTGCAGCCGTTGTCTTCACACTTCCTGAAGCACCACCAAAGAAAGGAAAAGACACCACGCAAAAGCAAGTCATAGAGACGTACAGGAGGGCCGGCCGGCCAGGCCAGTGCGCAAGCTAGCATCGCAGGGGAAGCTGAGGGGTGGCAGACTCCGCATTCATTATGCAAGTTAGGAGGATGCAGGAGCGGTCATCCCCAGCCCCTACCGAACATCGAACATCGGCCCTCAGAGGCCAAAGCTGCAGACCTCTGCTCTCACTGGCCGCAGCCTGAGGCCTGTGGATTGCTGCGTTCTGCTTTCAGTTCACAAGCATTCTGACACTGGAAAGTGCTGACTTGGAGGGCTGTGGGGGCCTACAGCACAGGCCTCCTGCTGACAGGCAGGCATGTCTTTGTTCAGCACTGCCCGTGGGCAGGAGGCTACTTATCTTCTGCCTGCGGGTTCTTCCTGCATTTGCACATTGAAAAGAAGCTGACAACTTGGCAAGATGCTCAGCCACTTCGGACCCTTTTTGTCAATTAACTTATTTTTTTAATACTTGAAAAGAAGCAACGTCATTTTTATATCCTTCCTAGAGACACTGATCACCTGGCACCTGCGTGTAGGAGTGACAGAGAGGCCTCTGAGACATCCTGCACCCTGTCTGATTCGAGACTGAATGCTTGTTACATGCATCTATTTATTAGCTTCTTGGTAGTGTTACTGACCTGGTTGGCATCAGGGAGGAGCTCGAGACCCTCTGGACCCTTGTTCACAGCTTTTCTGTCCCCTCTAGTAACTGTCACCTACCCTACCCACCCACCAGCCTGCCCTCATTTGTCTGTCGAAGATGCATCTCAGCACCACTGCGGGAAGCTAAGAGGCAGAGATCCCTCTCCATAGGGATATTTCTATTGGTTTTGGTGCCAGAGTGTCCCCTCGCTTTGCAGGTGTGTTAAAGCTTGGGCATAAACCCCCTTGGGCTGGCGAGACCATGTAGGGTGGGACTGGCCTACGGGCCAGCCAAACTGGAGCACAGGCATTGGGATTTAGGCTGCTCCAGGCAAACGGGCTACTCCAGCCCTCTCTTCCTTTGCATACTAGGATCTCCTGAGGCAGCAAGGGCTAATCAGCACCGTGTAACAGCTCCACATGCCAAATTGTTCATTCTCATAGTTCAGCCAGAGACAAGCGAGCTGTGCACAGCCCATTCAAGCCACTGACTGAGAAAACTGGGTGGTAAGTGCTTGCCTGTCACAAGAATCAGCACACCGTCAGCCCAGGGGGTCAGTGCCAGGCCCATCCAGGAGAAGGCACTGAGGCCACTCCTGGTGGGATGGGACAGGGGGCCATGCTGGCCTTGGACTTCCTGTGGAACCACACTGTGCCTCAACGTGAACATACGTCTGACTACAAAGGAGCAAAGAACCTGTCTTTTCTGCACTCTGTCTAGAAGCTGCCGTCTGTCCTTGGGAACCTAGATGTGCCACTGCAGCCATCGCAGCTCTGACTTCCTCGTGTCCTGTTTTCCAGTGAGGCAGTCTCCATATTTATTCTTTTTTCCTAAAGGCAGGAAGGAGAGTGTTCTCATCCCATCTTCAAACCCCATTTCCCAGTAAACATCCACTGGAGACAGGACCTTCGTTGCCTGTGTGGCCTTTTCCCTTCCTCCATCCCCAGTCTTCAAACCCTGCAGAGTTGCCTCCATCCCCTTTGTTCCACTAACTCCAGAACAAGAAAGCAGTTTTGAGAGTGACCACAGCCTTAGGGCTGTGCCTCACGTGGCCTCACAGAGCCTCCTGCTGCTGCCCGGTCCTTGTCAGCCTTGATACCACTCAGCTTTCCAAAGCACACACTGCTGCCTGCAGTCACTTTCAAGGGGGCCAAAGAATGCTGAGAGGCCTCTCGAATCCACCAGCCAGCCAGAGGTCCCCCAGCAGTGTTAGGGCATCAGTTCTCAGCACTTTCTAAAGCTCGCAGTTTGTAACCACTACGATTTCGTGCCCTGGGGGCTTGCTGCATGAAGTGTTTTCCATCTCTGGAAAAGCGTGCAGCTCCTGCCAGCTTTTCTGCCCAAGAAGTAAGCTTTGCCCTGAAGGCAGGGAAGCAGAGTCCATTGGAGTGACCCTAAACACAAGGCTGAGTGCAGTGGCACCTGTTAGGGACAGACAGAAGCCGTTTCCATGCCCCAGCCTGAGGCCAACCAGCAGCTCCACATGAGATTCTAACCCTGCTCAATCGCTATCTTTGGCCTTTGTCCCCAGCTGCCTCCGCAAGCTGATTTTGACCAGCAGTGAAAGGAGAGTTTGATAAAAAGTTTAGGGCCTGGTAGCAAAGCTCAGTGATAGAGTGTGTGCTTAGCATGTGCGAGGCTCTGGGTTCCATCCCAACTCTGAGGAAAAAAAAAAAGTGATATCATCTGGACTTCTGACCCACAAAGGATAATGATACGTTTTATGCACAATAAAATTTTTAAAAGAAATTCAGAGTGTATTTCTTCAGTCATTTTTCTGTACCTGGTAGTGAGCCGTGTCCACAGAAGCAATAGGTCTAACGTGTGTGTATGTATACAAGGTGATTTGAAAAAAGGTTTTTTTGTTTTTGTTTTTAGTTTGTGCTTTTTTCCCTCAATTTCCCAAGTTATCCCCTCAGCCACCATCTGCTATCATTTGAGAAGCTGCCTGAGGCTCCTACTTGGTAAGAAGTTGCCCTTTGGAGCCGAGCCCCTGTATGTGGCCTCTGGGAAACACGTCTTTGACACAGAGATTCAACAAACTGCAACCATCCTGAGGTCCTGGACCCCTCCCTTCCAGCTGGCCAGAGAGCCCAGTGGCTTGAGCCTGCAGCCTCTAGGCCAAGGCTGTTTAGATGGCTCGGTGTCCCTGAGTTTTTCAGTGCATAGGGCCCTGGAGAGCACTGATACCACCCTTCATGAGTAGGGAGGCCTCACCAAGGGAAAAGGGAAGGATCCTGCCCAGCTCTTTTCCCTTTGCTGTAGGCCACTTCCCAGGAACCTCCCGGGACTCGCCCAGCATGGCACACTGACCTCTCAGGCTCGCATCAGGAGCATCGCAGACCTTGGACTTCAAAAAATAAGGAAGCCTGGAGCCAGCTGGAGTCCCTGCTGTGGCCCAGAGCTGGGCCTGCTTCTTGTGTTACAGCTGTTCTGGAAAGAAGGACTCCTGACCAGGACCAGTGTGGGCATGTGAAACTAGAGAAGGGGACAAAAATCACAACTAGCACAGAAGGAATGTACCAGGGCATGGACCTGAAAGAAAACGTGGATCATGGCCCTTGTCGGCAGGGAAGGAATGGGCTTGGAGGCAGGTATCATGGTGCGCCCCTGCAGTCTTAGCTACTCGGGATGCTGAAACAGGAGGGCAAGCTCAGGACCACCATGGGCAACTTAGTGAGACCCTGTTTCAAAAAATGTAAAGGGAGCACACACTGCTGCCTGCAGTCACTTTCAAGGGGGCCAAAGAATGCTGAGAGGCACTCAGGAGGCTGAAGCAGGAGGATCATTACAAGTTCAAGACCAGCCTGAGTTACAAAGTGAGCTTAATGCCAGCCTGAACCACCATAGTGAGACCCTGTCTCAAAAAGATTTAAAAAAAAAAAAAAAAAAAAAAAACCACGCCCAAAATAAAAAGTGAGGCTTGGAAATAACCTGGTCCCAATTCCCATCTGTTCCCCCAAGGAGAACAAGATCTGATCACAGTTCACTACAAACCCAGGTAGCAGGAAATGATGGTGGTTGTTTCGGGCAGATAGGCGGAAGGGCAGGCTTGTGACCCTCCTCTTCCTCTCAAGAAACCACTATGACTCATGGCTCCAAAACTTTGAACCAGAATCCTTCCAGAGCCCTTTCTTAAGTATCACAGTCAACTTTTTTTTAAAGCCAGAATGGAACTTGACCTGCTTGCCAGGCAGTCTCCTCTCCTTGAGCTATATCCCTGGCCCCATCACATTCAAAAGCAGAGAAGGAAGCCAGGAATGATGGTGCACGCCTGTTAACCCAGTAAGCTGGGAGTCTGAGGCAAGTTCAAGTCTAGCAGTCTGGACACTTAGTGAGATCCTGTCTCAAAGCAAAAGAGCTGGGAATGTAGCACAGTACAAAGACCTTGAGTCCCTAATACTACAGAAAAAAAGAGAAAGTGCTCCCACTTCCTGAGCCAGCCAGATGAGCCCCCTTAAGAACACCCTCATTTGTGTTGTCTGCCCTGATGACCCCCCACTCCGTATGAGGGTAGGGAGAAGCCGTCATCTTAGGTGAGCATGACTCCCCAAACACCAACCCTGCTGGAGCCTCACCATGGTCGTGAGCCAGGAGCCCCTCCGGGAATCCTTCCCCACAGCCTGGTGCTGTGAGCTTCCCCTGCTGGCATTTCTTGGCCACCCCAGCCCTTGTGTCCTCTACCTTAAGGTCTTTTTGTAGCAGGTATATAGGCAAGTGGGAGCCCCAGGATCTGGTAGGCATATGTGCCACTGCCTCTGTGGCACACCTGTGAAGCACAGCATGTGAGAGCACTTTTTCCAGGACATACTTGCCCACCTTTCACCCTTCTGTGTGGGCCCACATCCTTTCCTAACCAGTGACAGCTACCTCTCAAGTGCTGAGTCCAGTCCTTGGACCACAGTGGGCCAGCTGAAGGGGTGGTGGCCCAGGACTAGTCAGGATCAGAACGGAACTTCTCCCTGTACAATAAACAGCATGGACACAGACTACCAGACATGGCAGCTGCAGGCAGCGGAAGGTCTCTGACAGGTCTTCAGGATGTGAAAATGAGGGCAAACTCACGGGCATCTTTGCCTGCTGGGAGAGAGATGGGTGTGAGTCAGCAGGTGTGAAGTAACAGAGGGTGACTTCTGGAGGCACAGAAGTGTTCGCCTCGGAGAAGAGGCTATAAACCCCAAAGACCAAGAGGCAGGGGCTCCTGCAGCCCAAGGTCACTTCCTGTCCATCTGGTTTCTCAACAAACTTGTACATTCATTTTTAATTATTTAAATGCTAGGCCAGATGTGTTTGTGCTCACAAACTTAATAGATACAGGCCACTATAGTGGACAGCATTTCCAGAACAGACTGGCCACCTCTGACTCCACTGCCACCAAGCCAGCTCTATCAGAACTGCCCCACAGTGGTCCCAGGGATTTGTCACAGGTCCCCATCCCCCATGGAGCCATTGTCCCAGACAAGGAGTCACCAGGCTCTGAACCAGAGCCAAGAAATGCCCAGGCCACCAGGCAAGGAGGGAACACAATTGCTTGGGAAAGAAAAAAACGACCTAGCAGCAGCTGACAGCTCTTGTCCTAGCAGCACATCACCTTTTATTTTATTTATTTGTGCATGCATGTGTGTTGTACTAGAAATTGAACCCAGGGCCTTTAGAGTTTTGAAACAGAGTCTCCCTGAGTCACTAAAGTTGCCTAGTAGGACTCGAAACTTTGGACCTTCCTCACCCCCCAGAGTGCCGGGGTTACAGGCTGGCACCATCATTAACTTAACTTCACTTAACTCTTTTAGAAGGGTTTCTGAAGAATTAAATGCCTTTTGGCTGGTCTGATGGTGGGTTATCAGAACTTATTAACATTAGTGTCACTAAAGTTGGTATACCACCACCCCCCCACTGCTAAATTTAACTGGCTTAAAAAAAAATAAAATAAAATTTTAAAAAATTAAATGCCTTTTTTAAAACGTCAGCAGTGCCAGGTGCAGTGGTGGATGCGTGTCATCTCAGCATTCTGCTAGGCTGGGGTGGGATAATCACAAATTTGAGCCCAAAACTGTCTCCAAACTGAAAAGAGCTGGGAATGGAGCTCCATGTAAAGGCCCGGGGTTCAGTCCCCAGTTTTCCCCCATCCCTGAGGTCACCAAGGCCAGACCCTCACCTCACAGTCTAGTGCTAGGAACCGAGAATGCTTCCGGCCCACTGTGCAGATTTTCAGCCTTGATCAGGGTGTGGGCCTGAGGTCACAGTGCTGAATTAACCACGCAGAGTCCTCACTCAGTGCCTTCCTAAGGTCCAAGCAGCAGAGGCGGCCATGGTGCCCTCTCTCCCTCCCCAATCACTCAGGAAGCTGGGACTGGCTCAGGAGTCCGCAGAGCCTCAACTGCTGACAGACCAACACCAGAGACTGTCTCTTCCCAGGTGGCCCAAAGAGCCTGGCCCCAGCCCTGGAAGAGGTGGGTGGCAGCCCCAAGCCTGTGGAATTCTGCTGTGTAGAAGCATTAAGAGCAGCCTCCTCAGGGCCCATGACTGAGAAGAATGGGTAGGAGGGGAGAGTCCATATTGTGATGACTGCCGGGGTTTAAAGTAAGTCCTCCTCTGCATACCGGAATCCTACTTCCTAGAGCCCGCTGCAGGCTGCCCCGTCCCTGCCCTTGGGAGCTGCTCTGTGGGACCCAGAGGAAGGCAGTCAGAAGTCATCCCTGCTGCTGCTGCTGGGGTGAAGTCTCAGACTTCATCCTCTTAACTGTATGCTCACTTCCTGTGGCCAGCCACCACAATAAAGCCAGTGATTTTTATCCTTCTATGAAAAGAGGCTCATTTCTCCCTTCGACAATGATTCACACCCGAGCGAGGACAGGGTGTGGCCCTATGACCAAGGCTCCAGGGACACTTCCTTCTTCAGGTCCGTGCTGGGGCCACCTGCTGCCAAGGTCAGTGGCTGAAGCCCTTCCCCTGAAGGAGGAGAACTGTCCCCCTCTGGCTCTCCTTCCCTCCCTGTTTATTTTGGTGCCAGGAGTATCACCGCTAGCTTGTAAGAATTCCCTTTTCTTCCCCTGCTTGGCATTTACAATATTATAACAGAAATAGACACAGAACAGTTGCTATCCCAAAATTTCCCTGAACACCCCATAATGCTTTTGCATCTCTGGTCAAGGAGCTAGCCGTGGCCAAGGGTGGGAGGGCACTCCTGATTCCGGGAAGGATGGGATGAGGGTCTGGGGACAATGAACACACGTATGATAGAGCTGGGCATGACTCAGTGTAGGCTACTGGCTCAACTTTCATAAGGCCCTGGGCCATCTTCCCAGAGCTGCAAACACAAAGACCCATGCACTCAGAACTGAGCGGTATGGCCAGGAATGAAAAGCAGGAAGCCACAAACTCAAGTCAGGGTAGAGGTAAGGAAAATGGTGGGTGACATGGACAGAAATCACCGAGTGGCCCTGACCAAACGCAGTCTGCCAGCACCCTTCCAACTCTGAGAGGTGGCAGAGGGCTCGAGTCTTCTCTGCACATGCCCTGCCCTGTGCTCCAGTCCCAGGAAGGGAGGCTATGCTTTCCTGCTCCCACCAGGTCAAGCCTGGGATATAGTGAAGAAAGAACCCGGTGTATGACCGACCACAGGCAAAGCAGCAGAATGTTGTCCATCCACCCCCAGGCGCCTCATCTACCCGGTGGCTTCCCAATCCTGGGGGTGGGGAGGGTGGAGAATGAGGTCCAGAGGCTGTGGATGGCAGCAAACCGTCCCACCC